TCCACACGTGAAACTCAACAACATGGAGAAAAGGATAACGGTAGACGAACCGTTCGTTTTATTAGGAACGGTCCCAGACCTAAGAGGCCATAGGGACACGGGCGAGCTCGTCCAAACACACCCCAATCTCTACGGACACTCGACAACACGTTTATATCTCCACGTGGAATATTTCTGGTATAAAAAATAATGAAAACGATATATATGTTTTCTAGACTTTGTTAAGACTTTTGATATTTTCCATCTATCAGAAACATGGATTAGTGACGAGTATTCTCACCGTTTCCCAAATCACAAGTGTTTCGCTGTTCCAGGAACAAGGATATCCAGGCGGAATTATGGTATTCATAAGAACCTGTCTTGTTAAGTTTGTAATGAATGTTCTTAAAAGCACTAACTGCATATTTCTGCTATTCGACAAATCTTTGTTTCCATTTGGGAAAGATGTGCTGTTCACTTTTGTATACATTCAACCGGGAGGTTCTAACTGGTACAAAGATAAGACTTGTAAAAACGGCATATTGTTACTGTTTGATAATTACAATGATTTTACGTCCACATTATCAGATTATGAAAGTGTCCTATGTGAGGACTTTAATGGAAGAACCGGCATAATAGATGACTTCACTGATGATAACTTTAAGTATATTGTACCAGATTTTGAAGAAGTGAATGATTACGTATCTGATCATTTTAAGGAACGACGGTTCTCTTGTGACAACGGAGTAAATGTATTTGGCAATACCTGATCGAGCTATGTAGACTCCATAATTTACACATATTCAATGGCCGCTGTGGAAGCGATAAGGGTGTTGGTGATTTTACTTTTATTAGTAAAAATGGTTGCAGCGTTATTGATTATGTCATTGGATCAGAACCCATTTATAGAGAAATACTATCTTGCGACATCCTTTCAAAACCTGATTCTGAACACCTGCCAATTATATTCTCATTACCGACCAATACAGGTTCGGGTAATATTTCTGATAACAGCACGGCTACTTCTGATTCATGCTTTACCAAGTACACGTGGAAGCACGATTTCGAAGATATCTATGTGTCAATGCTCGAAAGCTCATCTGACTCTTTGAATGATGCAACGTATATTTCTTTATTTGATATTGAACAAGGGGTTAACATGTTTCCTGACGTATTATTGAGGTCAGCTGATTGTATGAAGCGAGTTGTTAAGTCACGCAGCAAGGTATATAATTGGTTTAACAATGCGTGTCGATCTTTTAAACATCAGCGCTGTCATTTCTTGAACATATTTCGTAAACGCAAAGACGAGGCGTCTCTAGCCGCTTATGTAACAAGTAGAAATGCATACAAATCAGCTTGTAAGACGGCCAAGCGCAACCAGGACGATAAGCAATTAATTGAATTGAATGATTCAATGGGTGACCCTAAATCGTTCTGTCAAAAGCTGAAACACCTAACCGGTGGGGTTTAATCATCGGATACTAGTAATATATCTCCAGAGACTTGGTTTAACTACTTTCGGGACCTGTTTGCTGAAAACTAGAATGACCTCAGCGACGATCCATCGCTCGATGATTACATCTTGTTCAGTCAATGTGACCTGATGATGCATTTGATTCACCAATTAGTATAGGAGAAATATACTCCAGTATTACCAAGCTCAAGGCAAATAAAGCGTCTGGGGATAATTACATAATTGGCGAAATGTTTAAGTTTTCAGCATATTTTCTCCAACCTTTCCTGGAAATTTTATTCAATTCTCTTTATGATAAAGGAGAGTTCCCTTTGTCCTGGTCCAAAGCTATCATTATCCCATTTTATAAAAATGGAGATAAAACCTTGCCTGCAAATTACCGTGCCATATCACTTCTCAGAGTATTTGGCAAGTTATATACAAGTATCTTAAACAATAGACTTGTATTCCGGGCCGAGTGCTGCAATAAAATTAAACAGGAACAAGCTGGTTTCCGATCAGGATACTCTACCATTCATAATATCTGTACCCTACAGGCCCTTATCAGTAAATACCTCTCAAAAAAGGGTGGAAAACTCTATGCTTGTTTTATTCCGTTCAACAGACCAAAGCTCTGGTATCTATGAAAAAAGAACGGACTAGGGTAAAAAATAGATAAAGTGTTGCGATCTGTGTACCAAAACGTGAAAGCATGTGTGCGTACATCGAATAACGTAAACACAGAAGTATTTGAATGTACTCTAGGGGTACGGCAAGGTTGTGTTCTTAGTCCATTTCTGTTCTCATTTTTCATTAATGAATTGGTCGATGAAATCACGTCCACTTGTACAAATGGCGTTCAGTTATTCCCTGACCTACTCGAGCTGTTTCTTCTTTTATTTGCTGATGGACTCCAAAAATAAATTGATATTTTAGAGAATTACTGCGAAACATGGAGTCTCCAAGTAAATTTAAACAAGACAAGTATTGTTGTATTTAAACATGGGGGCAGACTTTCTAGAACGGAAAAGTGGACCTACAAACTTGTTCCAATTAAAGTTTCATCATCATATAGATACCTTGGCATGCTATTTACTAGAAATCTCACTTGGCACGCAGCTATAAATAATCTGACTCTTAAAGCTAAGAAGGCTCTTATAACCGTTCAACGTAGCTTGTTTAAGTTTGAAAATCTCTCATATGAACTATATTTTAAAATCTTTGACACTAAAATCCTTCCAATTCTATTATATGGTTCTGAGGTGTGGGGTGTTCAAAGATTTAAAAGCATTGAAAACATTCAGTTGCAAGCTTGTAAACGTTTTCTGGGCATCCGCAGATCAACATCCATTCTCTTCCCACAGAGGTTACTCCTGTCATATCTTCCTACGTAACCTCTGTTCTAATACGGCCCTTTCATGGTGTGAGCGTTCAAGACTCGTGATGGGAGGCAATCAGATTTAGTTGTGCAATCAGCGACGTTGTTTCAAAAGTGATCATTCAAGGCCTTGGTAATTTCCGTATGCTTCGAGAAAACTAAACTTCTTCCCCTGCGCGATGCGCAATAGTTTCTTCTAGACAGAACTCAGTCATGTTATGGCGGATCAGTGGCGTCTCCATCGCCCTCGTTGACAACGGACAAGCTAGCCATTACACGTCTTGTGTGTAACATCAACACAAGTCCCCGGCAGATGGGGGGATATTTGTGGCCCCACATTTGCTTGTGTTAGTCAAGTTGAATCCATGTCGATGTAACAAGTGTTCTGATTGGATAGAAGGAAGGGAGATAATTCGTGTTGCGATCTTTTGCCGCTAGGGGATTTTACGAGAACCCGGAAATATGGCCGTATTAGAACAGAGGTTCGTAGGAAGATATGACAAGTAACCTCTGCGGGAAGAGAATGATCAACATCCAGCGATATTGTATTAGGTGCATGCGGAAGATTGAAACGTTCTATCTTATAATCTTATATTGGTTGAAAGTCATCTCAATGCGTCCTCACCGCTACCCCTTAAAAACCTATAAGATGCTACATAACTGTATCTGGTTGAAAAATGCTAGCGAGGCTAGAAATAAGCACAACTGGGCTATGTTAATCAACAAGACATTGTTCCAACTTGGTCTCGTATATTCATGGGTCGGTCAGGGAGTTGGGGATGCTACAGCTTTTTTATCCATTGTTCAACAACGATGTAAGGATTGCAAGAGTGGACCAGAAATATTCAAACTGGAAAATGTTCTTATTCGTATTCATTGTTTAAACAACATTTTATGTGTGAAAAGTATTTAACAGACGTAAGTATAAGGAAATTAAGTGTATCGTTATCGCAGTTTCGATGTGGCTACTATGATTTAATGTATTTTAAAAGAATATGTCATGTTACTGAGCGCCAATACTGCAAAATGTGTGACAGGAATATTACTGAAGATGAATACCATGTCCTTCTCATCTGTCCACAGTATGAAGACCTAAGAAAGTATTATATACCATCTAAGTACACGTCCTGTCCTACATTTTACAAATTCAGCATACTAATGTCAACAGAAAATGTATAGCTACTTCAGAATATTGCTACGTTTATACACCATGCACTGTTAAAACGCAAACGCGCTTGTACCACACACCCATTGTACCTGTTTTTTACTTGTACTATGGGCCTCTGGCCTACAGTTCAGAAATAAATGTTTCTCCCTTCAGCAAGATATCTTGTATGTTTTGTAAAACATTGTAGGAAAAGATGGCAGTGCAAACGTGTGTCGGTCATGATATACATAGAATGGTGTTTTGTCGTAATGCACTCTGGAAAAGAGTTAGTCTGTCACGATATACACATGACAACAGTGTGCCTCACAAAATAAACTCATGACAAAAGTGTGTGTTTTCATGACATATAGTGTTTTGGAATCAGCTCTGTTGGCAAGAGGTTGACGATACCAACCCACACTCAACAAAGGCCTGAGTAAATAAACGAGGAGTTTATTACACAGAAGTCACAGGATCATCTTTTACATAATCAGTCAATAATAGTATGGATTACAAATACTTAATACAACGCGTTCACAACGCAATCAACTTTCAAAGTGCTTAAACACCACATGTATATTCGTTACACATTAATCACAACGTAATACAATAGTTCAATATTCTACACATCACCCCAGCCGGCGTTCATACAGTCACAAAACAGCATAGTGCTCACAACGTAATGTAATAGTTACGGTACCCGACACACTATACAATCTATAATAGTCACAAAACCGGGTAGGTAAATCAGTATTGCATAAACAATCCTGAGCAGAAATATATGACAGGATACCACGCTCCACATAAACCTGAAAGTACTGCCAAGGGTCGTAACATATAGTTAAGGTATTTACAATATATTAAGGTTAACATAGAATAACAATGGTAACGATGTGTCAAAGTAGAAGATAGTAAAGTTTCTTACCTGAGTAAATACACGAAGAGTATATTATGCAGCAGTCACAAGATGATTTGTGACTGTGTGTCGTCCCTTTTTATAACTATTCCAGCTAGCATAGATAAATGCATTTACTGAAAAAATGACGACAAAGTTGTTGCCGATACAGACGCCGTTCTCATTGGCCCCCATCTCGGCTCCCCACGCCCACGCGGGTTTGCTGAGCACTGCTCCATACGTGTGGGAGACCTGGTCCACCTCGATAAATGTACACTGCAAACAGTCGTCGGGAATTCCAATAGCAACAATTTAAAAAGCAAACCCATGCTAAACTTGAAACAAACACGCTACCCTTTTTCGACCCAACTTGGAACATTCTGGCTGGCCCGTGTGCGAAAAACGCATTATGTCGTTAAGCGCACGTAAAATCCTCCTCCTCTTCCTCCTCCTCATCATCATCGTCGTCGTCGTCGTACGTAGTCTCATCAGTCTTAAATGAAACACAGACTAAGGACAGTCGCCATTGTCTTTCTTGTTTGGTTGGATGGGTTGGAGGTATAGTTGAGTTGGTTTGCTGCATAGTTTCCGTGACTTCCCAGCTAACACGTTTTTTCAACGTTGTGGGAAGGTTGTAGATTGGCAACCTCATGACACAACGTTGTCACAACGTTAGTATTACAACGTTAGCATTACGTCATTTTATGACGAAATGTCACACCATAACACCAACAATATACGCAGATATAAACAGAGCTATATACATACAATTGGTATTGTAAGAAGCATTGTTGTAGATACACTGGCTATGGTGGTCAGTAGTGACCTACTTTGCGGTAATCACAAACCGTCTATATACAAGTGATTTAGTAAATACATATCAAACGTCTTTCTGTTTCTACTGTTTCTATACATAATCAATCCAGTTATAGAAGCTATCTTGGAATAAGATTCAAAGCTCTTATCTTAGCTAACAAGGGCATGGAGCAGCCACCGTAAGAGACATGTCACGTCTTCACATTCAGGTCTTAGCCACCGTAAGAGACATGTCACGTCTTCACATTCAGGTCTTAGCCACCGTAAGAGACATGTCACGTCTTCACATTCAGGTCTTAGCCACCGTAAGAGACATGTCACTTCTTCACATTCAGGTCTTAGCCACCGTAAGAGACATGTCACTTCTTCACATTCAGGTCTTAGCCACCGTAAGAGACATGTCACTTCTTCACATTCAGGTCTTAGCCAGCGTAAGAGACATGCAACTTCTTCACATTCAGGTCTTAGCCACCGTAAGAGACATGTCACGTCTTCACATTCAGGTCTTAGCCACCGTAAGAGACATGTCACTTCTTCACATTCAGGTCTTAGCCACCGTAAGAGACATGTCACTTCTTCACATTCAGGTCTTAGCCAGCGTAAGAGACATGCAACTTCTTCACATTCAGGTCTTAGCCAGCGTAAGAGACATGTCACTTCTTCACATTCAGGTCTTAGCCAGCGTAAGAGACATGCAACTTCTTCACATTCAGGTCTTAGCCAGCATAAGAGACATGTCACGTCTACACATGCAGGTCTTAGCCACCGTAAGAGACATGTCACTTCTACACATGCAGGTCTTAGCCAGCATAAGAGACATGTCACTTCTACACATTCAGGTCTTAGCCAACATAAGAGACATGCCATTTCTACACATGCAGGTCTTAGCCAGCATAAGAGACATGTCACTTCTACACATTCAGGTCTTAGCCAACATAAGAGACATGCCACTTCTTCACATTCAGGTCTTAGCCAACATAAGAGACATGTCACTTCTACACATGCAGGTCTTAGCCAACATAAGAGACATGTCACTTCTTCACATTCAGGTCTTAGCCAACATAAGAGACATGCCACTTCTTCACATTCAGGTCTTAGCCAACATAAGAGACATGCCACTTCTACACATGCAGGTCTTAGCCAGCATAAGAGACATGTCACGTCTACACATGCAGGTCTTAGCCACCGTAAGAGACATGTCACTTCTTCACATTCAGGTCTTAGCCAGCGTAAGAGACATGTCACTTCTTCACATTCAGGTCTTAGCCAGCGTAAGAGACATGCAACTTCTTCACATTCAGGTCTTAGCCAGCGTAAGAGACATGCAACTTCTTCACATTCAGGTCTTAGCCACCGTAAGAGACATGTCACTTCTTCACATTCAGGTCTTAGCCACCGTAAGAGACATGTCATTTCTTCACATTCAGGTCTTAGCCAGCGTAAGAGACATGTCACTTCTACACATTCAGGTCTTAGCCACCGTAAGAGACATGTCATTTCTTCACATTCAGGTCTTAGCCAGCGTAAGAGACATGTCACTTCTTCACATTCAGGTCTTAGCCACCGTAAGAGACATGCAACTTCTTCACATTCAGGTCTTAGCCAGCATAAGAGACATGTCACGTCTACACATGCAGGTCTTAGCCACCGTAAGAGACATGTCACTTCTTCACATTCAGGTCTTAGCCACCGTAAGAGACATGTCACGTCTACACATGCAGGTCTTAGCCACCGTAAGAGACATGCAACTTCTACACATGCAGGTCTTAGCCAGCGTAAGAGACATGTCACTTCTTCACATTCAGGTCTTAGCCACCGTAAGATACATGTCACGTCTACACATGCAGGTCTTAGCCAACATAAGAGACATGTCACTTCTTCACATTCAGGTTTTAGCCAACATAAGAGACATGCCACTTCTTCACATTCAGGTCTTAGCCAGCATAAGAGACATGTCACGTCTACACATGCAGGTCTTAGCCAGCGTAAGAGACATGTCACTTCTTCACATTCAGGTTTTAGCCAGCATAAGAGACATGTCATTTCTTCACATTCAGGCCTTAGCCAGCGTAAGAGGCATGCCACTGCGTGGGAGGGAGTGTCAGACACATATGGCATGTTGAGAGCACTATCTCCACTGGGGATTCTTCTCATCTCCGTAGACCTTCGGGACACCTACGGGCACGTTTCTGTCCATCCAACAGAAGGAACAGCTAGAGGACAATTAAAATGCTTATGAGCAAATATGAATCTTACAGTTATGAATATTGGCAGCCCATGAATGTTTGAGATTATCAGAAAGCCGAAGTGTAAACTGCTGCATAAGTACCTTGCTATCACCGACCTCTTAAGAAAGCCATACAAACCCAAAACCAAACGTACACAGGATATTGTGTAGCCCATGTACACGTAGTCCTACCCGAATCATCAAGAGGATTCAACACATTATAACCCTGAAATTGGTGTGTATGTGACTCTAACTGAATTAACCTTCAGCAATATGTATCCGCTCTAGACATATGATTAAACTACAATGGAAGCCTGCCACATTCCCCTAGAATTATACTACTACTTACATTTCTACCAACTCTGAAGTAATATCTACAAATCTTAATGTAAAGGACGTCATTAATTTTACAATATGATTTTCCCCAGACTTCAGATTCATATAACAAAATAGGCAGAATGACAGAATCAAACAATTTAAAGAGATCCTGAGCTGACAAAATACCAACATTTCTTTGAAAAGAATAGATAGACATAAGTGCTTTGTTACTTTGGGAGAGCAGACAGTGTTGAGCCTCTGTCCATGATAGTCATGACAGTGGAAACTATGCCAGGATACCTATAACATGACACCACCTCAATGTGTTTACCTTCGATGAACCAATTTTCATAATGCCCTTAACATCCTGAATTTCTAGGCACCATAATCTTTGCTTTGTCCATATTAACCTCCATACCAGTATGCCTGCAAAATTAGATCAAGTGCATTTAACCTTTTCTGCAACTAGAGTGCAGTATCTGCAACTCCTGACACATCATCATAAAGATGATCAACATTGACACCAATATTAACAGCTTTTCCTGCAAAAGGTTCAAGAACTGAAAAAAGCCTGTTTAAAAAAGTAATGATTAATTGAGGACTTGACGGGTACCTTAATTACACCTGAACGTATAATTGAGACCATTTGGAGTCCTAACACAAGCTACCAACTACATGGACACAAAAATATTATGAAATTTACCAGTGTTTTCAACAACCTCTAGACAATCAAACAAACTTTATGATTAATTGTATTGAACGTCTTTGCGAAATCTAGAAAAACACAATAAAATCTCCCCCGTTTCTTATGTGCAAATTTTTGTATATAACACCATTAAATGAAAAAGTATGGTCAACAGTGCTATAATTAGATGTAAATCCAGCCAGATACTCACAAATAGTATCGTTACTCTCACACCACTTCTGCAGCCAAGATGTTAAAATACAAGAAAACAATTTACAAAGTGAATCTACTAAAGAAATACCCCTATCATTACTAGCTATAGGGTCTTGCCTTTGTCCTGACTTGAAAAGAGGGCATATAATATTTGTACCCCACACAGCTGGGAAATTGCCTGTATTAGATATTTGAGCAAAAAGTAATGTAAGATGTTTTACAGAGTATGGTGTTGATGATTTGATAAATTCAGCTGCTATGCCATCAGGCCCAGGAGATTTATTGTTTTTTAGCTTGGCAATGTTAGAGTTCACCTCGCGTGCAGTAATGATATCACTTTAGTGATGATCACCGAAATTACACACTGCACCTGGAATGTCACATGAAGGTAACTGCAAGTCCTGATCGCAAGACATCAGAGATAACACGTGTTTAACCCAGCCACATTGGTCAATATTAACACCTATATTAGGTGGTTTTCTGGCAGATGTTAGTCACAGCCAAGGCGTTTTAGGGTTCTTGCCTACTTGACAACAATAGCCAAACATAAGGACAACTTTAGGGCGTATGAAATAGTGTGTATAAAAACTAGCAGCACATGCGGCAAATTATCCAGCATCATGACCTCTTTGTGCATTTGCTTGTAATACTAACATGTTTGTTCAATGAACATACAATCCCGAGTTGTTATATCTGTAAGAGTCCATAGATGACAAATATGCCTTGTGTGGTAATAATAAGAGTCGTAATGAAGCCATATTTGAAGAACGCCCCGAACGTAAGAGAAACATTCAGAGTCTGCTTCGCTTTCTGTGCTACAATTATGTTTGCCACGCTGCCGAAGAGTGTGAGGTTCCCAGCGATGGTAGAGCACCACGCAAGGTATAGTACAAAATCCAGCTGATTGGCACACGGTTGCAACTGCTCCAAAATGATAATCGTCAAGGGTACGTTGCTGAAAACATTAGATCCAAAGATTACAAACACCGCAAATATTGCAATGCTCTTGGCGTCATCAATAGGACGACCAGCTAAGCCTATGGCCTTCCACACATAGCGTGGTACTCGCGTGGCGTTTACCCCGCCCAACCATACGAAAATACCGAAGAACATGAGGATGACGTTCCAGTCTACTTTCATTATGAGGTGACTTGGGTTGGTCTTGTTCAATGCAACATCTGCTGCCATTATTAACGCAGATGCCGCCATTGGAAGAATACCTGAACACCAAAAGAAAAGAATTATATGTCATTAAACATGTCAATGTTAAGTTAAGACACAGATCAGTTACAACCCGAAGACAATGTCTCATTCATGGAACATATCTAGTGATAAATGCTTTTATTCTCTGTTTTATAACTCTTCTCTCTAGCGTGTACATTTGTTAGCTTGTAAAGCGAAACCATACAAACCCATGTCAAAACGGAGCTCGTCTGTCTTAACAAACAGAAGCACCAACATGATGACCAGAAGTAAGGGTGGCAGCAAAAAGAAGACGCGGCTACTTCCCCGTTCATCTTTCTCTGATGGCAACACACCATGTACCTCTTCTGCTACAGGGACCTGCTGTGCACAGCAGCTAGTGGAAGCATTCAGCCTGGAGTGAACAATCAGGAAGGCCAGGTTGAGGAGGTAGCCCAAGATGGCCGGTATTCCGAGGTACGTCACGCTGCGCTTGAGATTAAGCTGACTTTTAAGGTATACAGTGTTCTCGGTTGTTGACGCTATGAGTGCTATCTGAGGATTACCGAATATGGTTATGACACTTCCAAGGTTTGCTGATGTTGAAATAGATAGTAAAAGGGTTTCCAGCTCGACACTTGATCTTTCCTGTGAACACCAATGCTTTAGAATCAACGGTGTCAGTATGACACATGCAGCGTCGTTAGTAAACAACGCAGCCACAAAGAAGGACAACATCGTGACTCTCCATAAATAGCTGGGGAAGGATATATCTTTCTTCAGCACCTTATTAATCAAAGTTTGAATGATTTGTTCCCTTTCAAAGTACTGGGATATAATCATCATACCAAGGAGAAGGAATATTGTCCGCATGTTGCCGTCTTCTCCTATAATGTCATAGAAGTCTCCCTGGGACAGGACGGTGGTCGCCACCATGAGCACGGCCCCCAGGAGGATGGCGGAGCTGGCACCGATTGGGAAACAGCTAAACTCGAAAAGAACAAAGGGCAGGATGAGTAAAAACACAAGTGAGCCTGCCACCACTTTGTATGTGTCGTTTAGAGAGTAGTCCAGCTGGGGTAGAGATTCATTCAACGTGTTACTGTTAAATGCATTGCAGTTTATAGCGACGAGGTCGAACGACGATGCCATGGTCTATAACTTCTGGCTACAGTCTTCAATACAGTTTACAACCGAGGTTTGGGATATCTGAAAATAACAAAAAATACATAAAACCATTTCCAAATTAGCGACACTTGAAGACTGTTTGGTGAAGTTCAAAGACAAGCTGTGCTATAGTTTAATGTCACGATGTTATTTACAAACTGAAACGCAGAGGTACACACAACTAATTCAAGAAATTATTTAACGTCCACATAGGTTGAATTACTTTATGAGGTGATTTGCAAATGAAACGCACATGATGACCCAGAAAGTTTTAGGGTTACAATGAAAACCGGCACAAATCTCCGCAGAATGCCTGTACACTAGTCTGTCCTTCGGATGTTTCCAGGCCAGGCATCCAATCCGCACTTGCTAGGGAGATAAGACGGGTCGTAAGAGGAACCCGAATCAATCTCGTGTCACTGTTCCATAGGTTCAGGCAGCCTTCTAGAAACTTCTCGAACGGTCACGATGATTTTACTTTTTACTCTGTAGTACTCTGCGCGGTTGCTAAAATCAACTCGATCCTCACTCCTTCATTATTTGTGAGATCAATCAGCAAAGATTTCATAATACCTGCGTCAGAAAGTATTAGCAATAAAGAAGTGTAAAGTGTAATTTAGATGCCTCCTCAATGCTATGCAATACGTATACATAGACAATACAATATATATATGTATATGTATATATATAAATGTATGTATATGTATGTATATATATATAAGAAGAAGTTTCTGAAATAATCACACGACACGGATCTCCTCCAACATTAACATAATCCGTTTAACTGTAATCACTTCTCCCTGAAGATAAAAGTGAAACATGTTGGAGAAGATCCGTGTCGTGTGATTATTTCAGAAACTTCTTCTATATATGTACTACTGTACGCTCGGTATTCTCGTCACTTTCTTTATATATATATATATATATATATATATATATATATATATATATATATATATATATATATATATATATATATATATATATATATATCACATAGATAAATAAAAACAGAATGCCTTTTTCTCCAACATGTTTGGTTCTTTACTCTTCAGGGAGATTGTAGCAGTTACAGGATGACGTCATTACATCTATATTGTGACGTCACAATATGGACAACATTCTAGAACGACAAGGTCACAGCTTGCAATGGTTTAACATTGGTTTGAACTTGTCTATGAACTAGTGTTCTTTTAAAATTCGTTTTACTTTGTCCGAATTTTTGAACTTGATAAAAAGGAAATATTATAAATTTAACATCGTTTCCTTTCGCACAGACATCTAGATGTTCACTCAGCGGGATACATTGGGTTTCAGGACACTTTATTTGTTGTTTGTGGACACGAACCCGGGCTCTTAAATTTTCTGATTGACCAATATACTGTTCATTACAGCCTGTGCATGTTATGACATATATAATAATTATGTTTTTGGAAGAGTAGTCAAAATTCTGTTGTTACATAGAATTCTCCGCGTTACAGAGTGTCCTTCAACAATATGTCGACACGTTCCACAGTTACCTCTGTTGCATCTAGCTAGACACAGTAGGATTTGATAAATTCTGTTTCTTTAAAATAAATTTGGCTTTTGTTAGTATCTTTTTAAGATTCCGATTTTGTCTTGTGCTATTTATTATTTTTCTAGATTTCAGCATTGATTTCAGTTTTTCATCTTGTTCTAAGATGCACATATTTGTTTTTATGTTCTGGAACGCATTTGGGTTCAACGGATTAAGTAAGCAATTACTTTTACCTCATTGGTTTGTTTCATCGTTCCTGTCAAAGGATCTTCTCTATTAAGCTGTGAAGCTTTATTTATTCAAGAGATTTAACAAGAGATTTTGGACTGACTGACTGAGTTTGGTTTTACGCCGTTTTTAGCAATATTCCAGCAACATCACGGCGGGGGACACCAGAAATAGGCTTTACTCATGTGGGGATTCGAACCCGGGTCTTCGGCGTGACGAGCCAACGCTTTAACCACTAGGCTACCCCACCGCCCCAGAGATTTTGGATATTCCCGTAATAGTAAAAACATCTTAAGTCCATTCAGTCTTTGATTACGGGTGTCCTGGTTTGAAACTATTGTACATATTCTTCGTGCCAGGTTATATGGAAGACTTCTTTTAGTGTGGCTCGGATGACAGGATTTGAAGTTTAAATATTGTTTCGTATCTGTAGGTTTGTAGAAGATATCTGTGTCCCATTTCCGCCCCGATTTGATGACCATTGTGTCTAAGAAAGCCATTTTAGTTTCATCTGCCTCCATAGTGAAAACAAGATTTTCGTCCATGCTATTTAATAGTTCGTAAAATGTATTAAGTTTCTCCTCAGAAAATGGCCAAATTATGAAGCAGTCGTCTAGAAATCTTTTCCAATTATCCATGAACAAATGGGCAACATCCTCTCCAAGAATTTGACTGATTTTATGCTTGAACTTTTCCTCCAGATAACCTAGGACAAGCGTCGCATAAGTCGGCGCCATTTTGGTTCCCATGGCTGTTCCTTTAATCTGTTTATAGTACTTATCGTCAAAAAAGAAAATAATGTTTTTTAAGATGAATTCAACGCTTTCCAAAATGAATGATTTTGAAATTCTCTCAGGTATGTGTTCTTCACAACGGTTTAACCAATAATCCAACGTTTTAATTCCCAGGCTATGTGGGATATTTGAATACAAATTTGTTACGTCAAAAGTTACAAGTTTGCTTGTTTCATTAACGTCTTCTGGTAAAGAGGAAAGGAAATGCATGGTGTCACGAGTAAAACTTTTAACATTTGATGAGATTGGTTTCAATAAAATATCAATGAAATTACTGAGTCTATGTGTAGCACACGCTGGGCCTGCAATTATAGGTCGGAGTTTCAAATCTCCCGGGTGTTCCATCTCAACATAGCTGCTTTTAGCACTTTCACAATGTCTTATGATCTCCTTACTTTTATGAATTTTGGGTAAGCCATAGAAATTGCTCGATTTGCAGTCAAAATGTGTTATATAATTAAGTTCATTTGATGTGAGCTCTTCTGAGTACTGACTGGTTAGGTTCTTTAATTTCCGAAGTACACTGTCTGACTCTTTTTCACTGCACGGGACATAAGTACCTTTGTCCAGGAGTAAGTCCATTGCCATGTGTTTGTAGTTCGTTGAATCCATTAATACTGTTGCTCCGCCTTTGTCAGCTTCTTTTATTATGATGTTCGGCCAAAGAGTTTAAAGAATCTCTCTGTTTGCTGGTTATATTAGAGTGTTTCTTGCTTGCGTTAGGAATTATTGGATAACTGTTTATTTGATCCACAAAATTATCCAAATGTTTGTTTTGTCCCTTTTTGGCGCACCAAAAACTTTTATTTCTAACTAGGGATTCCTCCCCATTTTCACACTCGAAAAAGTATTCCTCATTTCGAAATTTTCTGCAGAATTCAGTTAAGTCTTCTTTCACTTCATTGCAGTTACTTGATTTTGGGGTAGGTGTAAATTTGAGTCCCCTATTTAATATTGTAATTTCATCTTCCGTTAAAGGGCGCCTGGACAAGTTAAATATCTTTATGTCTACTGTCTTTGGTTTTTCATTTTCCTTCTTTTCTTCACATTCCAAGTGTTGAATAAAAAAGGATTTTCAGTGTTGTAGTTTGTGTGGCTTTGTGAGGGGAATACATCAGTTTTACCTTGATTTCGCGGCACTGGTTTCTGATTTGTGTATTCCTCCTGGTGTTTTCTCTGCTGGTATGGAACTCCATACTGGAAGTGAACATTACTGTTATTTGTCAGTATCCTTCCATTCTTGGTCTTGCTTCCGATAAATGTAACTGATCTGGATTTCGAATTGTGGTGGACTGACTCACGAAGTTTGGATTTTCCTTCATGTTTGTTTGATTTAGATTTCAGCCACGGATTATCAGCGTAGATTTTGGAAGAAAATTCTTGTTCGTACTTCTTCAGCCATGAGAGATTTTTATCCCATCTGTTATAAGAATTGATTTCTTCTTTCTCGCATTGTTGCTGCCATTGTTTGAATAATGTGTCGGCTGTTGTGCCCTGTGTAGTTTTGTTGATTTCTTATTTCATCATTCTATCTATGTCAGCAACGCTTTCCTGTTGGCCAGCTGATCTCATCTTCATTAGTTCTATCTCCGTTTGCATGTAGGTGAATGCTTGCATCTCTCTCTTTCTCCTTTGTTCTGCAGATTCGCCAGGAATCTCCTTTATTTTGAATTTTTCTGGTATGATTTTAGTATCATTGTCCAACCACTGTATGAGTATATCAGCACAATTGTTGTTCCTGAGGCCTTGCCAGAATAGTTTTCTTCTTTGCGTCATATATATATACTCTCCCCCAAAAAAGAAACGCATATAGGAATTTCAACTGTATTTTTATGTTTATTTTGAAACATCTTGTAGGCTTTATGAGTCAATGAAATATAGCGAAATTGCACACTGGGAATGCAGACTTATCCGTCTTTTGCACCAACCCTAGGAAAGTCAGTTTGAGTGTCACATGGAGACGTGTGGTGGAAGTCAATACCTCGTGTGACCACCGTCGGCATCCAGAACTGCACGGCATCGCCTCGGCATCGAACGAATAAGTCTAAGAATCTCGTGTTGCCCAATCGCAGCCCACTCTGTCTGTAGTGCCTGTGTGAGTTGCTGAAGTGTCTGGGGCTGAGGGTTACGGTGTCGCACCCGTCTGTCCAGGGCATCCCACAGATGTTCGATCGGGTTTAAGTCCGGTGATCTTGAGGGCCAGGGGGGGGGCACATTGATGTTGTGGTTCTGGAGGAAGTCTCTAGTGTGACGTGCTGTGTGGGGCCTGGCATTGTCCTGTTGAAACAACTCCCTCTGGCGATCAATGATTGGAAGGAGGTGTGGGCGTAGGATTTCGTCACAGTACCGTTGAGCTGTCAGGTTGCCCTGGATCATCACCAAATCACTTTTCCTACGGCAGGTGATCGCTCCCCACATCATAACACTGGCCCGGCCGAATCTGTCCACCTGGGCAACGCAAGCGTCGGCGAAACGTTCGCGTCGACGTCTGTACACCCGCA